TAGGCGGAGCCATCACTGCCAAGCTGGGGCTGCACATTTCCAGGCTTGGGGGAAGGGGGGGCACTTCTGGGCCCAGGTGATTCGCTGTCATTCACCCCCAGGCCCTTGCTCGCCACACTCATGGGCACTACAGCTGTGTGGTCAAAGCTCTGGCCCTAGAGCCTTCCCTCACTCTCCACCCTCTTCCCAAACCAACACTGGCTCTTTGGGAGTCAGTTTCTGAATCATCTTTTCCAGAAACCTTCCTTCGCTCTCCAACTTTGTTGCCAACATTTATTGCACTGTCACATTTATTACACTGAAATCACAACCGTGTCCTCCTCTCCTAGGCCACGGTATAAGCCCAGGGCAAATGGCTTATTCATTTACAAGTCTGGGGCCCAACATGGGCTTGGCGTGCAAAGAGAGGCCTTCTAGAAGCTTGCTGAATGAAAAATGGATTGATGAAAAATATCAATAAATCTACAATTTATGTGATATGATGTAGCAAATGAACTGTAGGCCACCTTCAAAGAAATGGAGAGTTTTGAGAATAAGGAAAACACTTTCTGGTGTTTTCTAGGGCTCTGGCTCAGAAGGCGTCTGTGTTCCTTAGCACAACAGCACAAATGTGATTTTTGAAAGGAGTAGGGCCAAGACTGCTCAAGGGTGGCAAATGCTTTCTTCACAGGAGACAGTGGCTTTCTAAGAAAATGAATCCTCCTGTTAGCAAGATGATTTCTCTATTATTGGTGAGAAAACCAGGAACAGCTGTTTTGCCTCCACTAAAAGGGAGGCTCCCAGGCCTTCCTCCTGGCCCTGTCTCTTGCAATGGCCCTCACTCTATTTGTCACAGTCACATGGAGATTCTGCTGGCTTAAGTGTGTCTTGTTCAGGAACTGAAGATGTTGCCACAGGTTGATGTCCCTTTGATTTGAAATTGGACCCTGAGTGCTATTAGTCCCTACTCTGGCCCTGGCTCATCATTAGCCACTGGTCAGAGATCCCTACAAGGGCTTACAGGAAACTTGATAGAATGCAGCTGTACAGAGTCCTCCTGTAAAGGGATCCAGCCTGTCTCTCAAACAAGAGACTGGGTGTGAAACTCCGGTCCTTCATACTACTGATTAAAATTGACTTCAAGCTGGGTGCTAGTAGCTCACCTGTAATCCTAACCACTCAGGAGGCTGAGATCTGAGGACTGAGATTCAGAGCTAACCCAGGCAAGAAAGTCTCTGAGACACTTATCTCCAATTAACCACCCAAAAGCCAGAAGTGCAGCTGTGGCTCAAGTGGTAGAGTGCTAGCCTTGAGCTCAGAGACAGCACCCAGGCCCTGAGTGCAAGTCCCAGGATCTGTTACTCCCCCCCAAAAAAAGAGACTGGAACAGCAGGTGGCATGAAGTTCTTCTTGCTATTTGGGACATCTGACATTTCAGCAGGAGGGCTGTCTACGTCATTTCTAAGGAAATTATGACAACTAGACAATGCTAAGATCCCAAGTTCAAATCCAAGGGGCCTCTTCCCTGTCAGATGTTTGTGTCTAAGCTATGAGCAGAGGGTAGGAAGTCACCCACCCTTCTATTCACTACTCAGGTGCATGAATCTCACCACCTACCAGACAACAGGGGCACCACAGCCCCTTTCTGTTTCCCATCATCCTTTGGGGCCCCCAGACACATACTATGTTGTCAAGATGGTCCCCTGGGAACAAGAGGGGAAAAGCAGCAATATATCTGCTGGGCTATGGGCTTAGCAGAGATGCAATTTAAAGAAGAAATAGACGCCGCTGATCTTCTTCAAAGCTTTGCAATGTTCTCCCCCACCCAGATAGCAGACTTTGATGCCCCAGGCTCAGTGTTGGAAAATGAGTTTCTGACTTTAATTCTCAGTCATTATGCATACATATGGTGAGCTTTCTCTCTCTCTCTCTCTCTCCCACCCCTCATTTAAAAGGAATGTAGATGGTATGTAAATGTGCCTCTGTGTGATTATACAATCCCAACCTGCACACACTAATTTCACAATAAGGACATCTTTCAGCTACTGTTCCATGTTTGCATGAAAAATGAGTAAATCAGTCCTGCATACATGTGCTATGTTTCTTTTCTAGCCCAAATCTCAAGGTTGGGCTTTGGACTGTAGACATGAATGGTTTGTTCAGCTTAAGAACAAAGAGATCATCTCACCCAAATCCAAAAGCTTTGACCCACTGCATGCCCCTCAGCCAGGACTATCCTTGAACTCCTCCACCGACAAGGGGCTCACTACCTCTGGAGCAGCGATTCTGTCTGTGGACAACCACGAACCATGAGAATGTCTGAACAGGGACTCTGATCATCTTTTGTTTCCAAATCGACCTTGTTTCCTTTAACTCTAGAAGGGCTTCCTTTACCTTACTGCAGGGATGCACATACACATATTTGCAAGCAAGCCATCACGGTCCCTGTGCATTTTATATTCATCATTTCACTAACAGTGTAAGTACCTTCCATTCCAATTAGCCTACATTTCCCTTCGTTGTTTTTTGATGCCTTAGGTAACACCGCCCCATGGTTAGATGGACTATAACTCATTAGACATTGCCTGCCTGTGAACATTTAGGTGGTTTCCAAGTTTTGTTGTAGTCATCAGCTCAGGGATGATGTCTTCACACCGAGTGATTATTTCCTTGTGATTCACAGAGGGTCCGGGTCATGAGGTGTGAACACGTTAAAAGGCTACTCCAGGTGCAGCCAGCAGCCTCCTGGCAGAGAGCAATCATTAATGAGCACTGGGAGATGCCAACATAGTTCTGCTTATCCCTCAGTACTTCCCCCTCCCCACATGGCTCCTGACCATCCCCTGTTCTATGGGGCCCACTATAAAGGAATGGCTACAGACCACAGACCAGGTGGCTCTGCTCTGGCCAGGACCTAAAGCAGCCTCCTTTCTTAGGTTAAGGACAGTCTCCTCAGGACTGCAAATTGGGGAAGAACTGGGCTTGGAAAGCAAAATGACCACCTCCTAAGAGAGCTGGAGCAGTCCTTTCAGGAGCTAAGAGTTCAGAAAATAACAATTAAAACAGCACAAGGCAAATGAGGGGGGGAGGAGAAGGCAGAAAGTGTCTCCCACAGAACTTGGTCAGCAAGTCTCTGTCTCCATCCATGGTCTTCACCTGAGCCACACATCCAAGTCCAGCACCCAGAATCCCTCAGGGTAGGAATGCGCAGAGTCCAACCTAGAACCTGCGTGGGGGCCACAGGAATCACTGATGCCTGCACACACTTCATCTTTCCAGTTTCCCACAATCACACAGGTGCGCTGACATCTGTGCTCCAGGCTGCCATCAATCAGGGCATCTGTAGTAACAAAAGGGCGGAACACACTATAACTCCAATTCTGTGTGACTAATTAGGGCAGTTAGAACATCCAAGGCTGCTCTGCAAGAACTCCAACATGTATTACTGTGTCTCATCACCATGAAGTCACTGTGGGCCATAAGTGGACCATAATAACAGTAATTTCAGCTATTTGGGAAGCAGAGATAAAGAAGATCTAGGCCACCCGGGGTGAACACACACACACACACACACACACACACACACACACACACACACAACTAGACCACATCTCAACCAACAAGCCAAGAGTGATGCTGTATGCCTGTGATCCCAGCTACGGGGTAAGCATAGACAGGAGGATAGCAGTCCAAGCTAGCCAGTCACGAAAACCTCAAGAGCCTACCTGAAAAATAAGTAAAGCAAAAAGAGCTGTGGTCATGACTCCAGTGGTATAGTGCCTGTCTATGCCCCCGTGCAAGCAGCGGGCCCTGAGTTCAAACTCCAGTACAAAACCAAAACCAACACCAGAACAGGGCTTGACCAGCCAAACACTTTGAATTCAAACCGCACATCTTGAATTCAATCTACAGTACCACAAAACCAACCAGCGAGCAAAAGCCAGCATTTGAAACTAGGCTCCCATTGTGCGTACAAGAAAAGATGGGTTTCGTTAAGAAGCAGCGGGCTGTCGTCGATGGGAAAACAGTGCGGTGGTAATTAAGTGCATGCAGTGGTGTGCGCTTGAGGGCAAAGTGGGGACGGAGAGACAAAAACAACCACTCCTGCTTTTACAGGTAGGCACAAGTCCGGGAAGGATACCCAAGAACTAGCAGCAGCGGGCTGGGAGACTGGAATATAAGGTTAGGGAGCAACATCTTCCCCTCGCCCGAAGATAAACTCTAACGTGTTAGGCCCTTGGGAAAGATAAAATGGAACACAATGCAAACGAAAACAGTGCATCCTTCTGGAAGGGTTATGGAGTCTGCTATTTGAATCTGCAACCCGCACATCCAAAGCCCTGTCTCCACCCGAGCGACCCGGGGCAAGTTCCCCACCTCGGGTCTCAGTTTCCCCAAAACACTCAGGGATGTCGGGGAGCTGTCCCTGTGACTTCTCTGCGGCTTGAGCCCCGGGTGGAACTAGATGCCCCCTACCCCGCCCCACCCCGCGCGCGCTC